GCTGGAACACGTAGTGTGGCATTGGAAAAGAGCACGTGCTAAATGCACAAATGCGCAATGGGCCGGGCTTACTGGATTGGTTCATTACTAGAGGCACATAGTAGCCATCTGACCCCCCCCCCCAAAAAAAATTCACACTCAAGCAGCAAGGATAACGTTCTGGATTCCTCATGATGCAAAGATGGCACTGGACACCATATGATATTCATTGAGTGTATGACACACCTCTGTGTTGTACACACGGATGCTGCGATCACTAGAGCCTGTACACAGGTACTTGGCGGTCCACATGGCCAGGCAAGTCACCTCCTTGGTGTGGTCGCTGAAGACCTTCTTACACCTGAAATCCTGGCATGGAATGAACATGGAGAATTTCAAGCCAAAACATAAAACCTTTCCGGAATATCACGCAAATACACTTCACGTCCTCTTCTTACATTAATGGGCAACTATAAATGTGCTGTATGAGATTAATCTGAGGACCAATTTCCTTCAAAAACGTGTACGTAAAAAGGACCTTTTCATATGAGAGACAGATTTCTGAACAGAAGATGTACACTTCTGATCCCACTACTAAACCAATCCAAATCCAACCTTGGATCGGATCATGGTTGGATCAGATTGAATGTGGTTCAACTATTTCCTAGGAGGTAGTTTAGTTAGATTTGGGTCGGAGCTGTCGGAGTAGGATGACCCTTCTAGTCAAATCCAACTCCCTTTTTTATTCACAATACCCAACGATGAAGCAAAAATGATAAAATTTGGAATTTACATCCAAAGAAGGGAGCGGTTTCTCAACTTTATGAGAAAAATAGCATCAATTCTCCTCTCCAGAAATCTCCCCAAGATATCTTTGTCTGGGCTGTGACAGTTTTGCTGGCAAAAAAATAAAAGAAAGTGCTCAGAAACACCAATACCCCATCACTACGACTGTTCATACGTGTACACGTATATACTTACATGTACATGTACGTACGTGTATAACACATACTTGTTACGGGATTACGGGGACTATACAGTCTTCACGGGAGTGAAAAAGAGTATCCCAAACAGCTTTGCTGACGAGCATAATTCTCCACAATCTGTCTACAGGCAAAACAATTCGTTTCAAATTCACCATTTTTCTTTCACAATCCAGAATTTTTCCAGATATTCACAGAAGTGCCTTACGTCGATACCGTAGACCCTTGCCGTGTGGTCTGCACCTGCGGTGTACAGCCTCTGCTTGGAAACGCACAGCAGCATCCCCAACACGGCGCCATCGTGGTTGGGAAACACACCGCACGGGGGCCAGGTGCGGGCTTGGGTGGGCCTTGCATTGGTCGGCTTGGGCCCCTGGACCACTGTGACTGGTGAGTGAGATGGGTTCGCTTGTCTGTGGGCGGAGGGTCGAGGATGGCAAGTAAAGCAGAACGGAGAGAAAGCACTGAAAGCAGCAGACATCAAACATCTTTTGCGGGTGCTGTCTGCACCTCTACTTTTCATACATGTACATGTAATGCTCCATGCAAAATGAAAGAAAGAAGAAAACATCTGTTGTTGTTGTTTTGTTTT